AAAATTTTGCAGAAGAGGTGAATAAGCAGAATTTGGGCTGAAAAGAGGTGAATGAGCAGAATTCTGCTGAAAAGAGGTTTTTGCTGAAAACAGCTGAAAAAGCTGGGATTTGTGCTGAAAAGTGGTGAAAAAACTGAAAATTCTGCTGAAAAGGGATGAAAAAGCTGAAATTTGTGTTGAAAAGAGTTAAAAACGTTTAACTGTTAACTGAAAGAAATGTTGCCATAAGCGGGGTTTGAACCCGGGCCTCCCAGTCTGAGAACAGCTGCTCATCTCACTGAGCTAAAACACAGCTCAGCCTGGCGAGCAGAAACAAGTGACCACATTGATAATGTGTTCCATTCATTTCAATGGGCAAAAATATTGTATAAAAAGCTTAATATTTTAAAAAGTATAATAGTTAAACGTACAAAAAAATATAGCAAGAATGAGCCGAAATAGCAGAATCTTGTGAAATTTGAATGGTGAAAATCGCACAAAAATTGTGGAAGTAGTTAAGCGGCAAAGAACGGAGCAACTTGAAGAATAAAGTATAAAGAATAAAGAGAAACAGGAACTCAATAGTGTGCCTTTGAGGGCATCACACAATAACATGAAAACAGAACATGCTGGGTCAGAGGGGTTTTACACTCTGTGTTTATGGTCTGCAGTGCCCCCCGGTGTGAATCACGTCGAACCGGTGGAGCCAGTTTCAGTAATCCAGGGATCCTTGGTGACTTTATCCTGTGAAGCACGTGGCGTCCCCCCTCCGACGCTAACGTGGATGAAAGACGGACAGCCGCTGTCCCTTCACCGCAACCTGCTGCTGGATGGACAGGAGACAAGACTGCAGCTTCCTGACGTGGCCCCCTCAGATGCGGGCTTTTACAGCTGCGTGGCTAGTAACCAGGCTGGAAGCAGTACCAAGAGCTTCAACCTCACCGTGCTTGGTACAGTCACCCTCTTTTTATTTATTTATATCTGTAATAAAGAAAAAGAAAATAAGCTAACACATTTTGCTTTCTTATGCAGAGCCTCCAAAGATAGTCAGCTCCGACTCACCAGAAGGGCTGACCATAGCAGTTAACAGTCCACTTGAGCTTGAGTGCTCTGCTGTGGGAGTCCCACCTCCTACCCTCAGCTGGCTCAAGGATGGTCGGCCCATGGAGAGATCTGATATCGTTCAGCAGGACGGAAACTTTATCAGGATTAGCAAAGTTCAGGTATAAATTACTGACTGTGCGAGCGCATGTTCTCCTGAGATTGGCAAAATAAGGGGTAAAACTTTATTTAAGACAATGTATGTCGCTAAGACTTTTTCTAAGCAATCACTCCTGTTAAAAAACCAACAGAAAAACATACCCACTCTTTTTAAACCTTAGTCGTCACTTTAGTTGAGTGTACATTTTTAAATAAAGCATTGTCGTGCAAGAACCACTCAAGCTGATTGATATTGTCTCTTTAAAGGTCGAGGATGCAGGTCTGTACACCTGCTTGGCCAGCAGCCTAGCCGGAGAGGATGGAAAAAACCACTGGGTCCGGGTCCAAGGTAACACAAGCTGTTCTTGGATATTATTCAGCATGGAAGAAATATGTCATGCCCCCCTTTTCCCTTAACGTCCTCCTCTCTTTGCACCTGGTACTTCATGAATAAAGCTCTGTGTGCGATCAGGAATAAAAGTCTGGATTTTTACACAAGTGAAAAACAGAGTTGCACCGCTTGTATATCGTCCTCGCTGTTTTGCACGCAATATGACATGCATGCAGCGCAGGGTGCATTTTCTTGGGTTTTTATTGATGGCCTGACTTTAATTTATGAGTGTGCACTACTCACCATTTATTCCACTTGTTAATATTTGAGTAAAATGATGCTTCTATAAATATAATCATACACAATGCAGTTAAGACCTGCCAGACTGCTTAGATCAGTGTTTTCCCAAATTCATGGTGTTTCTTTTCCCCTTTCCTATAATTAAGACATACTCTTCTAGATGATTCAAAACTGTGTGGCACACTTTTTTTATAGCACTTTTTTTTTAGTAATGTCTTTTTTTAAGTGAAAACACCTGCTTTTTATATCTGTCCCCGATCTACATTCTGACTTCATCTGTTCCACACGGCCTCATAACTTTACCAAGCTCACTACTTCAGGCTCACAGCGCTTTTTTTTCTTTTACTTTCCTTTTTTTGCTGTTATTGTGGATCACATAAATCTTAATGGTCAGTGGTTGTGTTGCAGTACCACCGACGCTCCTTGGCTCCAGTGATGTGAGGACATTGACAGTGCCGGTTAACGGTCACCTCACTCTGGAGTGCCTGGCTGACAGCGACCCTCCTCCAGACATACAGTGGTACAAGGGTGAAACCAAACTGCAGGTACAGAATGTGAATTCAAATAAGTCATCCACTATTAAAAGTATTGATCTCCTTCTTGACTTGCGGATTCTATCTTTCCTTTCCTTCTGTTGTATCAGCTGGGTGGTCGTATCCAGCAGCTGGCAGGGGGTCAGTACCTGGAGATACAGGAAGTCAGGTCTGAGGATAGCGGCCAGTATAGCTGTGTGGTTACCAACATAGCTGGAAGCAGCAGTCTCTTCTTCACTGTGGAAATTCTCTGTAAGTATACTTGTCATATCTTATTTTTAAACTGCTGAACTTTTAAACCGTAGACATAAACACATGACAACCAAATATTTAACTCAGCAAGTTGCCAGTTACTGCAGTTAGTAACCAGTCCAAGTTATCAAAGAGAGAGTGAAAGACCAAAGTATCAGCATGTGGGCCATTCTTTGGGGTCATGCCAAACACTGCAGACAATGGAGCTGCTTCTAAAAACGTTTTGCAGTAAAAGTGTTGCTATGAATGACTGGCACGCTGAGCTGCTATTTATCAAGGGGTTGCCACAGTGAATAAATCTGGATGCTTTGATTTGTCACAGATGAAAAAAACCCCAAACAGTGGATGACCTTTGTGGTGTAACCTTCTAATTGATCCAGTCTTGGAATAAGACAAATGCAAGTACGATACCTCGAGAGCCCCTGAGGCTGGGTTTCTATCGCCTCCTGGTTTCAAACCGGGGACCTACATGTAAGGCAAATGTGTTAACCACTACACCACGGAGCCACTAGTTTCTGAAATGCCTGTTAGAAAAAACAAACAAATGTTTAAAAGAGCTAAAAGAGCTGTCACTTTAATACATTATCATGACTCATTTTGAACTTACATAAGAAGGTCATAGATACATGCAAAGAGTAGCTAGTTGTAGCTGAGGCTCTGCAGTACAATAGAACAGAAGCCTAATTAATTGTTCGAGGTGGAAATGATCAGACACCCCACGGTATGATATTATCACAGTTCTTCACAATGCAATACTAGTGTGATATGCTGAGTGTTGAATATTGCACATATATTGTGATTTATCCCCTTTTTCAACTGCTAATCATGTTATCAAAGTTACACTTTTATGTTATCTCAAGTCATTTTTCCTGCTGGATAATGAGGTTGTCAAATATACCAACACTGCTACTGAAACCTGCCATAAATGTTTCTATAAGATGGAATTAGTCTACTATTATTCTACTATTTTATTATACTATACTGTTATATTTACTATTATAGCTGATAATACATCAACTGGGATAACTCTGGGATAAAGATGACATATTTGACCTCAGCAGCATTCCTGCTCTATAGGAATAAAACTAAAATACAACCAACTGGCAGTCCATTGAGTTGAGTCCCCTTGAGTTTTGCTCATTAACAAAGACTCAGTCAGACTGTTGGCAACCTGTCTGCAACAGACTGCAACTGTTTGCACAAAGTTTGGGCAACATGTGCAATCACTTTGTGAGAAACCAATCAAATCTCTGTGTTGTATTAATTTAGAAAGGTGGGAAGTAACTTTGTACTTGCATGTGATCCAGATTCCTAAATATTTATATGTGTGAGGACTAATAGAGATGAAAGAGAAATTCCCCCGTCGTATTTCAACTTTTAATGCTGCCACTTTTTTTAAGGTTGACTGTAGGTGGGTAGCTGGAGCAAAGTTCAAGAAGTTTATTTAGGAGGCTGAGTAAAGAATTAGAAGTAACAGGTGGTAACATGTAACATCATCATTTGAAGAGAGGCTTAAAAAGAGCCACCTACTCAAGCAGGTTTCAAGGGAAACCACTGTTTGTGCGTTTAGGGTGGTTTTAAGGGAAATGAGTGTTTGGTGTGTTGTTCAACATTCATGTCTGGGGAGAAAAAAAAAGAGTTTTATATGCTAAACACAACAAGATTCTGTCTCTTTACTTCCAGTACCACCTGTAATAAAGGAGAGCAGCTCAGTGGTGACTGTACATATTGGCCAGGATGCAGTTTTACCCTGTGAAGTCGAAGGCGACTCCTCACCTGTGGTCATGTGGAGGAAAGACGGCTTCCCCGTGCGTCAAGATAACAATAAGTACGTCCTGAGATTTCTCGCAGGTGTCTGTAATTGTATACGTCACACTCGACTGTATCTGTCGAACACAGACGCGGTGTATCCCCAATCCATTCATCTTTCGTGCATTTCAGATACACCATATTATCCGAGGGCTCGTTGCGCGTACATGCAGCTCAGCTGAATAACGCAGGTCGCTACTACTGCACCGTGTCCAACCAGGCTGGCTCAGATCACCGAGGAGTGGATCTTCGTGTGTTTGGTAAAGACAGTATAAACAGTACCTAGCTTATGAAGATTTTGGGGATGCCAGCAGATTCAGTTTTTAGCACAATTTTTTATTGTTAAAACAGCTTAGCTGAAGGTCTTCTGTGTCTTATTAGTGGGTCCCTCAATCAGTCCGGGTCCATTCAACGTGACAGTTACCACTGGTATCAGAGCCCTGCTTAGCTGTGAGGCTGCAGGTATACCTTCTCCTAAAGTATCCTGGAAGAGGAATGGCACTCCCCTGGATATCAGCCAGCAGCCTGGTGCATACAGGTATAGACAAAGCTATGCCTGTACGCTTCAAATACACAATTGGTATGCAGTACAACTCGTACAGCTATAAAAACTTCAAAGCTGATGCAGTTCTGCTTATCTGTTCAGGTTACTGCCCTCAGGGTCTCTGGTTCTTTTGTCCCCAGCCAATGAGGATGAAGGTTATTTTGAGTGCACTGCAGTCAATGATGTTGGAGAGGAGCGCAGAGTCATCGAGGTCATCCTGCAAGGTATTGATTTAAAGTGTTGCAAAAATCAGCCGGCTGTAGAATGCCGTTTCAGTTAATTCAGCCCACAAATTTGCTGTTCTCTCCCGTAGTCCCTCCATCTATTGAAGATGATGTCACGGCAGTTAAAGCTGTGAAATTGTCTCCTGTCGTCTTGCCTTGTCACATACAAGGACGCCCAATGCCCACTGTCACCTGGACGAAGGGTGGAGCCAAACTGAGCTCCAGAGGAGGAAGCTACCGCGTCCTTCCCACTGGTAAAGCAGCACACCAGTTGCTGTTTCCTTATATTTTCATACATCACGGTCCTCTGTAAACACATGTTCTTTGTACTCACTTTAATGCAGGAGAGTTGGAGATAACTGCTGCTTTGCCCAGTCATACTGGCAAATATACATGCTCAGCCAGAAACCCAGCTGGAGTGGCTCACAAACACATCTCTCTCTCAGTTCATGGTAGGCCTCCAAGGACATATGTTATCTTATTATGTTTATGTTAAAATGTATGAAACCATATGACACTGTGTTCTGTCTTCCACACACAGAGCTGCCAGAAATCAGACCAATGGCAGAAGAGGTGCAAGTAGTGCTGAATCATGGGACTGTTCTCCCCTGTGAAGTTCAGGGCTTCCCCAGACCATCAATCACCTGGCAAAGAGAGGGAGTTCCCATAGCAACAGGTAACGGTAGAAAAAATATGAGCAAAATCCTTATTTATAAAGAGACAGACAGATTAACATTATGCACAGTTTTCATATATTAGAATCCAACACATTTAACAGCAACGAAGTCATACTCCAACAAGAATCCTTTTTTTTTTGTTTTAACTTTTTACAGATAGAAAGGCAATGTCATCATGCAGTGGGCTTTAATTTGACCTGTCTCATGTGGGCCATTAATTTTCATGTGACTGTGTCTAGGTCACAGGCTGGCTCTGCTCCCGAACGGAGCTCTGAAGTTTTCCCGTGTGACGCTTGGTGATGCGGGGACCTATCAGTGCCTGGCAAAGAATGAAGCTGGTGTAGCTGTGGGCCGGACAAAATTAGTCCTTCAAGGTAATGCAGGTTTTTTATCTCACCATGGGAATAACATTATGTAATGTTTCATAATCTTATGAAACATTACATTCATTTTAGGAAATTCGCAAATATATATCTGCTCATCTTATGTTTCCGCAGTTCCACCAGTGTTGAGCGTGCCTCATGTCGAGTACATGGCTGTGCTAGGCCAGCCAGTCAGCCTGGAGTGCATAGCTGATGGGCAGCCTCTGCCTGAAGTCACCTGGCACAAAGAGAGGAGGCCTGTGCTTGATGGCGCTCATGTGCGCGTCTTCTCCAATGGAACTCTGGCAATTATTTCTACCCAGCGCAGCGACGCGGGTCTTTACACGTGTACTGCTAAAAACCCCGCCGGCAGAGCCAGCCATGATATGAGGCTGCTCATTCAAGGTGAGTGAAGCACTTTACAAGCTGCGCTGTGTCGTCCCATGTTTGTGTTAATAGTGGTGTCTCTTTTCAGTCCCACCCGTGATTGCTCCTACACAGACGCAACTGTCAGTTATCCAAGGGTTTCAGGCTCTGCTGCCCTGCGCTGCTCAGGGTTCACCAGAGCCTAAAGTGTCATGGGAGAAGGATGGCAGCGTGGTGCCCAACCTCCCTGGCAAATTCACCGTCCTCCGATCAGGAGAGCTGATCATTGAGAGGGCTGAGGTTAGCCTCTATGTCACTTTATTATGAACTGCATCTCTCTGTAGTTCCATGTGCAACACTCAGCTGCTGCTTCTTTCCTTCAATAGTCAGGAGACGCTGGTGTGTTTACATGCGTAGCCACCAATGCAGCAGGCTCTGCAAGGCAAGACATCCGACTGACCATCAATATGAGGCCTGCATTCAAGGAGCTGCCAGGCGATGCAATGCTAAACAAAGGGCAGACTCTTGCCTTATCGTGCCATGCTCAGGGAACGCCTTCTCCTACTATCTCCTGGACTGTCAACAACAGTCCCTATGCAGGTAGTGTTTTCCTTTTTTTCTTCAGTTAAACAGCTCATAAGTGCTACACAGATTACTGTATTTGTTATTATGTGTAATGCATTCAGTTTTAAAAAAAAGCCTAATTTAAAATAAAACTGTGGTGTAAAACTGCAAAACTGTTGCAGGTGCCACTGTAGATGAGGCAGGCAGAAGCTCCATCATCATTGAGAATGTGACTCGGAGTGATGCTGGGACCTACGTGTGCATAGCAGCAAACAGCGTGGGTTCCATTAGAGCGCTCTCGTTCGTCCGTATCAGAGGTGAGATTTATCCTCGAGGATTCCCGCTCACTGAACTTTCTATAGATATTTACATTATGACACATTCTATCTGAAAATACACATGCTATGTGTTTCCAGAGCCTCCGGTGTTGAAGGGTGAAGCCCACATGTCTCAGACAGTCATTCAGGGTGGCTCTGCTGTGCTTGACTGTCCCGTCCACGGAGACCCCAGCCCTGTCCTCCGCTGGCTCAGAAATGGAAAACCGCTACCTCGCTTCCTCCGAATGCAAACCCTCCACAACGGATCTCTGGTCATTTACAGCACCACTGTAAATATAACATTTTCTTTTCTCCTCCTATTTCTGTTCTTTTAAACAGTAATCCTGCTTCTAAACAAGTTCTGTCAAGCCTAGCTCACTCTGGCATGAAACATTTTCCGATGTAGTCTGCGCAAGAAGGCTCCATCACGCAATCTGAGTAGAACAGCGGCGCTTTATTCATCTGCAATACCCTTGGGTAGAGGAACAGCGTGTGACTGTCCTGTGGTGTCCTGCTTCCATCTAAATCAGATTCAGTTCAGTCGGAGAGGCTAACAGCATTAGGCTCAGAGGGAAGAAACAAACAGAATGCTGTATGTTCCCAGACTCTGCCCCTCTTTCCGTAGCCTCTAACCTTATTATGGTCTCTAACTGCTGCTGTAATTGCACAGCCTGCAGCTGAGACTTTCTCACAGACGGATGACTGTCCTTCCAGCAGAGTGCTCTTATTATGAAATTTCCTCTCTCTGTCCCTGTAATATTAATTATGACAAACAATTCAATGGAATAAAGTCAACTGCCCCATTGAAAATGTCAGATTTTGTTTGCTTGTATGGTAATTTCCCTAAACTGTAAAACTGTACCCAATTTAGAGATATGTTTGCTTGGAAGGTTTGTAGTCCTATTAAAGGATAACTGTTCCTTAGATAATTCGATAATCAGCTAAACCTCTACCTGGTTGATCTACAGGCTGCAGATGAAGGGGAGTATCAGTGTGTGGCTGAAAGTGAGGCTGGAACAGCTGAGAGGACCATTACGCTCAAGGTTCAGAGTGAGTTCTGTCTATATGATTTATTTAACGGGTTATGAAATAAAAAATTCAAACACGTTTGTACCATAATGTACTTCCCAACCTGCCTCCAATCCACTTTTAAGAACGACTTTAAAATGTTACTTTCCCCCCCGTGTTCATTTATTCATGTCTGTTGCTTTCATGTGTTGCAAGTGCTCCTTTCCTTTGCACAACAGCAAGTTTGCACAACATAACCTGTGCAAATGAACTTCCTGAGGACCCACTGTTGAAAATTCTTTTCTTCTTTTCCTCTCTTAGTCAATGGAGGCTACTCGAGCTGGCAAGAGTGGGGACCATGCAGTAGCACCTGTGGCCAAGGCTTCCAAGAGCGAATCAGACTATGCAACAACCCAGAACCAGCTAATGGAGGCCGATCATGCAGCGGCCCCAGTATCGACTCTAGAAAATGTCAGGTCGGCTTGTGTCCAGGTACCAGTGGCTTTGTTATTCATTTCGATTCATTTTGATGCCTCCAACAAAAATATGTCTGTGTAATGCATGAGGAAATTTGAAAATTAAAATATTATTGCCCGTTGCCAATAACTACAAAATATTTTATTATTCAACCCTTCAATTCAATTTCATATATACAGCGCCAAATCACAACAGCTGTCCCTTCAAGTTAGCTCAGTACCATAAGAACTAAAAATAATACAGAGAAAACCAAGCACTTGGTGACAGTGGGAAGGAAAAACTCCCTTTTAACAGGAAGAAACCTCCAGCACAACCAGGAGGGGCGGTCATCTGTTGTGACCAGTTGGGGGTGAAGGGAGGAAGACAGGACAAGAGACGCAATATGGAAGAGATTAATAATAAGTAATAATTAAATGAGGAGTGGTGTCTAACACAGAAGTATGCTCTTTCTTTCCAGTCCATGTCAGTAACTTTAAACACTTTCAGGGAGCGTTTAGGACAACCTGATATTAATGAATTTCAGTTATTTAGCTTATTTAAACGTATTTTGGTGCTGACAGGTGAGGTTCCACGCAGGACTAGAGGCAGCCTGATAGGAATGGTCAATGACAGAGAGTTTGGTGTGTCCTACCTGGAGGCCAACATTACAGACAACGATGACGAGGGGAGCAGCACTGTGCAGGCACACCTTGACAATATTCCTCCCACTGTGGGTGAGTGATGGCATGTACCGTTGTGTACCATTGGTTGCTGTTGACCTCAGCCTCATACCTAACAGTTACCGCTTCATTAAACAGTGGTCACGCTGAATTATAATAGAAAGAGTTGAATTCTTGGGGATGCATTCCCAATCTTGTTCAAATCACATGTTGATGTGTAGCAGAGCAGCAGAGGCACAGAGCTAATGCTGTCTTGTTGTAGGTCCCTTGCTGCGGGTGCTGGTGTCTGTGTTTGCACCCATCTACTGGACCACCGTGCTGCAGAATGGAGCAGCCAGAAATGGCTACGCTTTCACTCAGGGCCAGTTCAGACAGGAGTCTCAGCTGGAGTTCGAGACTGGTGAGCTTTGCCTACTGCACATTTTTGCTTTGTTTTCCGTGCATATGCCAGTTAATATTTAAAGCTTTTGATTCATTTATTTAAGATAATGCACTGCATATTTAATAGATGAAAATACTCGGCTTAAGATAAGTTTTGTTCAACTCTTTTTATTTCTGTTTAGTTTCTTGTAAACTGTGGTGTGATTTTACAGGAACAACAACAAATGTTGAGTTTTTCATGTCCATTATGCGCTCTTTTGTAAAACAGCCAGTAGATGGCAGCACTTACTAGCAGTCACATACATTGAACATGAAGGCTTGTGCTTCTAAGCAGTTACAGCACGCTCCCTTGTGGTTTTAAGTGGATTTACAGTGTTTGGTTTTTTGGTTTTTTAATCTCTTCTAACAGGGGAAATCCTACGTTTGACTCATGTTGCCAGAGGTCTGGATTCGGAGGGTGTTTTGCTAATTGACATAGTAATTAACGGATTTGTTCCTCCTTCATTATCATCATCTCACATGAGCCTTCAGGTGTGTTCACAGCTTTCATCGCAATGTGTATTTAAAGATCATTCAGATCAAATCCTGACTTAAAGACATGACACTTTAGTTTCACACCTCCGATCCTCTTTAGTTTGTGTGACCCGATTTCACTCCTGCCCCGTAGGAGTTCGATGAGTCATATGTGCAGACGGGCCAAGGGCAGCTGTACTCGTGGTCATCGCAAACCCACCAGAGAGGAGGAAGCCCCATGGTGCTGCGTTGTAATCACACAATTATTTACGAGGGCCAGGAAGAGCGCCAGGGTCCTGTGCTCCAACTGCTCAAGGTTTCTGGGATGAATAGTGCCTACAACATGTTTACGCTCACTTTGGACTTCCATGTTACTGCCAGCCTACATGTACCAGGTCTGCAAAAATATTTAAAAATTCCAGCAATTTAAACTCGATTTTACATGAAATCCAGGATCTGTTGGAAAGCCTAACATTGCATGTACTCTGTGTTTACAGATGGTTATGAAGACGCATGCCCTAAAGGTTTCACTCTTGACACCGCCTCCTACTGTACTGGTATGCTGTGCTTATTTTTTAATACCTCAATCATTTTTTAACATCATTTAATTGAACATTTGTGACTGTTCTATTTTATTATTATCATCAAATGCATTCTTATTAGATGAAGATGAGTGTGCACTCCAGTCTCCCTGCTCTCATTCGTGTAACAACATTATGGGAGGCTTTTCCTGTACCTGTCCGTCTGGCTTCACCATTTCTGCAGACACCAATGTATGCCAAGGTAAGACAAAGAAAACCTGCTGGGTGATTTTTTGCAATATCCAATATTACAATACACAGTGCACAGAGATAATGTCCTACTTAAGTAAATCTAAAATGATCTCACTAACTGTTTCCCTCATGCAGATATCGATGAGTGTTCCCAAGGCTCACACATGTGCCACTACAACCAGCAGTGTGTCAACACAGTGGGAACGTATCGCTGTCAGGCCAAGTGTGGACCAGGATTTAAGGCCAGCATCACAGGAACCAGCTGTGAAGGCAAGCAGCTGTCAATCACTGTTAAAATGTCCAGTATTTCATATGGAGGCATAAACGTCTCATTATTTTCCTGTTTGTGTAATATTTTATTATATTTGCACCTGCAACAATAATAAAAATCTCATTTCTTGCCAATCACTTAAGTGTTAATCAGCGATAAAGCCCTGCTGTATGTGTCAAATTGGTCTTTTAGATGTAGATGAGTGCCAAGAGTCCGCTGTCTCCCCGTGCCAGCACCAGTGCCTCAATACTCTGGGTTCCTACCGCTGTGTTTGCCACCCTGGATACCAGCTGTCAGGACGTCACTGCATTGGTCAGTTGAGATAAAAAGAACGAAAACTACCTGCCTGCCTTAACTTGTTTGAATTCTTATTAAGTTATGCTACAGACGATTTCAAAAGATAAGACTACACCCAACTGCATTTTTTTATATACAAACTTAGCACAAAAAAAAAGTTTGTTTTCAGTTTGTGTTCTTTGTTGTAACGCTGCTTCTTATACTTATAATGTTGAAAAGCCTGTTTATTCCCCTTGGATGTATTTTCCATTGATACAGCATCCACAGTAATGCGGGCCCTGCAGAATATTTACTAACAGCTCCGATATGACGGTTTAAATTTTGCAGACATCAATGAATGCACGAGGAACGTATGCCCGGCTCACCAGCAGTGCCGTAACACAGAAGGAGGATACCAGTGTTTCGACAGCTGCCCAGCTGGAATGACCAAAGCAGAGAGTGGGGCCTGCGTGGGTAAGCTGCTTTTATCCACTTTATTTATTTAGACATTGCTGCATTTAACAGTTCCTGTTCATTAATCACTGCTTAATTTATTTACTGACAGCATGAACTCATTTATGCCTTGAAAGACTCAGATTTGGCTTCTACCTCCAACCCTTCAATACTGTATCGTGAATTTGCTAAAATGGTTTTCCTAATAAGTGGAAATGAAACCCCCTGTAATCCTTTTGAAAGCCGAAAGAACCACTGATCACTGGTCAAAAGAGGCCAAATAGAGAGCAAAAGATTTTATGAACTGTAAATCCACTGCTGCGAAAAGAAAACTTCTGTAACAAGGTGCAGCAGAGTTTATGGTAGACACTGCTACACGGCAGCATTAAAGTACTCAGGATATCTTCTCTTTAACTGGCTTCATGTCAGCAATCGCAGTCAGCATATCAGCTCATAACACATATTAGCTCAGGTCGTCCTAATCTAGCTGAGTGCACTCACGTAAAAGCCAGTGTTTGCAGCATAGGAGCAATCACTAAACACAGACGTGTGTAGAAGGACTTTTGTTTTTTTGATAAAGAGAAAATGATAATTTCAGGAAAAATACAACAAGAACAAGACACATAATCCAGGCTTAAATCAACATTTATTTAGCCAAAGTGAGGAAAAGCAAACTAAAGTTATCAATTTTGACAATATAACCATTAACCTTAATCTATCATTAGCTGGATATGACTGTGTGAAAATCATCCTTTTTTGACCTGGACATTTTTCAGATATTGACGAATGCCAGGATGGAAGTCACATGTGTCGCTACACTCAGATCTGTCGAAACACAGTCGGAGGTTATGGATGCGTGTGTCCCAGAGGCTATCGATCTCAGGGAGTTGGGCTTCCATGTTTGGGTGATTATTACGTTTGTTTAACAAAAAAAACCCCCTAAACATCACACCCAACGGAAGCACAAATCACTACTTAACTTTTGTTTTTCATTTCCAGACATCGACGAGTGTCTGCAAACGCCGAATCCCTGCGCCTATCAGTGCCGCAATGTGCCGGGCAGCTTCAGGTGTCTGTGCCCCCCTGGGACAGTGCTACTCGGCGATGGGCGCTCCTGCGCAGGGCTTGAGAGAGGGCACACCTTCACAAACGGAACCAGAGTCAGGGCGAGACTCGTCCCACAGCTGGTGTCATCCCTCGGCAGGCCAATCCTCTCCCGTTCCCATGGAGTATCTCGCATCACCAGGCAGAGCTGTCCTGTCGGCTACACCAACAGAGACGGCAAGTGTGTTGGTAAGTTGAAATCAAAAATACTCCAAAAGATGTAAAATAACAAAGGATTCTTACAATATAAGCCCAGACAATGTTCTGTTGTTTTCCACTTACAGATGTGGACGAGTGTCTGCTCAAGAAACCGTGCCAACATGAATGCCGAAATACGATTGGTAGTTTTCAGTGCCTGTGTCCCCCTGGATACCAGCTGCTACCCAACGGCCGAAGCTGTAAAGGTAAATGTCTCCTTAAACTGTTTTAAAACTTCCACCTTCCCCTCAAATTATTACAGCTATATTCTTATCCCCTCTCTTTCTCTTAGACATTGATGAGTGTGTAGAACAAGGCATCCAGTGTGGACGCAACCAGATGTGTTTTAACACCCGAGGAGGATACCAGTGTCTGGATACACCCTGCCCTGCATCCTACCAGAGTGGAAGAAGACCCGGGTAATTTGCAACATCAATAAGTGTTATACAGGGTTATTAATTAAGTTGTAGAAACCACACAAATGCAAAATTATGTTCATTATATGAATTAATAATATATATATATTTTTTCCGGATGACTTTTACAGGACCTGTTACAGGCCTTGCTTACTGGATTGCGCCACCGGAGGCTCTCCTCTGCTCCTGCAGTACAAGCTGCTCACTCTTCCCTCCGGCATTCCAGCCAATCACAACGTGGTACGACTGTCAGCTTTCTCAGAGTCTGGCATCCTGCAGGAGCGCACATCCTTTACGATACTTGAGCAAGAACCGGAGGCAGGCGGGCTGGGCCAGGTGTTCGGTATCAGAGACGAGGCCGGCAGAGGGATCATCTACACCCTGCAGGTTCTGGACAGACCTGGACTAGTGAGGCTCAAAGTGCAGGCCACCACTATATCGCTGCAAGGCCGCATTACCTACCAGAGCATCTTTATCATCTACATTTCCATCTCACCCTACCCCTACTGATCGTCCACGCTGCTTTCCACATGACTCTGCCCCCCCCAGGATGTTAGCAAGTGGATAAATATTGTGTATCTTGACTTGCGACTGAATCATAGCAGGAAAAGTCCTGTTCCAAATCTTGGCTTCTGTGGGATCTTTTGATCACAGAGCAGAACATCCTGTTCGGAAGACATCTGAAGTTCATTTCATTACCCTGCACCCTCTTTGGGGTTAAAAAATGCAGAGAGCGCATCTATCTAATTCACATCTGAAAATTCAGAATGTATCAGGAACTTTTTTTTTAATGTTCTTCTATCAAACATTTTGTATGTTAGTTTAAAGTGTTGCATTTCTATTACTGGGAGAAATTCCTTTTCATATAAAAACATGTTTGCAGCATGGAAATACAAGCCTGCTGCTAAGCTACTATCATAGCTACGAAACTGTACAATGTTACCCCTATTATTTTAATTTATTTAAGGAATTTGAACACATCACTGGTTAATAAAACTTCCTGTCACAGAGAGTTTGACTTATTAAGGATCTACTGGCATTGTAATGGCACATTGTAACTAGCTAACAACAGTCTTTCATCTATCTTAATATTTTTGTACTCTTTTCTTACGTTTTGTTGTCACGTAAATTGTAAAGGTGCTATTCTGAATGTATTTTGGCGATACCATTACAAGCGATGTGATTGGTGCTGATTTTACAAAGGTAATATAGTTATTAACAAATAATGAAGCACAGTTGGACTGCACTTACATTTTCTCCAGCGTGGCGCTACAAACTAGCATGCCTCTCCTGCTTCCACGCCACTGTACAGAGCACTGTATTGAAAGTTATCGATGGTGTTCAGTAGTCAAATATGTGCCGCTGTTGTACAAATCTGAAAAGGAACATAACCTGAAAACCATAAAGTGCAGTTTAGGTACAGTATGTCCCTGTTGCTGTAAATGAATGTCAAATATTCACAGAAATAAAATGGACCACAATTTTGTTTTTGTCTATCTTACTGCCGTACCACCGTAGTTTTAATTATCTTCTGTTAAAGAAGAAAAACTCATCCTAGAACTCAAAAAACAAACTTTAACTTTGGGGACCATACTAAGAAAATCCTCCCTTTAATGAGGCAAGAAGAACTTTGAGTGTTTGAGCTTAATCTTGTTATATCATTATTCCTTTTTGGTGATCTCAGTCCAGACCTTTATTTAACCTGGATTTTTTACATTTAAAAAAAAAAGCAGTTTTATATTCCAATCAGGGGTCAAATCTAACAGGATATCCACAGGGATAACAAATTAGAGTCTGACCAATACAAAATTAATCACAATTATTATATTGTTGCAAAACAATACTTCTGTACTCATAAGAGTGATCTCTTCCAGAATGACAATATCCCCATCTACAGGCCATGATGGGTCATGATTTAGATCATCAGCTTCACAGTGGCCAGATCTCAACCATCAGTAGAGTCAATGCCAACACAGTAAAGTTGTTCTAACACCACGTGATAGCCCAACACCAAGAAACTTCCTGTTTTTTGTTTTGTTTTGATTTTTTAATTTGTCCCCCATCTGCAACATAAAATTCGCTTTGGACAAAAATATGCTTTAAATCAAGAATCTTTTAGCGCTCTAATCAAAACCAGGAAGTCATATGAATCATAGATTCTTCACTTTGGAAAACAGGAAATCTCCAGTAAATAGCCGTTGCCTGAGGTAATACTTGAGCTGCTCTGTAGATGGAGCAGGATTTAGCCCGTTTTTAAAAAGATCCACTGATCTCTAAAGTCCTCGCTGCTGGGTAACGGTGCTCTGTTAGCGTCATTAATCTCAGATGTTGAGCTGCTGGTCATAACTGACAAAACCCAAATCGCACTGGGCAGCTCGAACTTTACAGGAGAGATGTTTATATTAGCCCCCCCACATCGTACACGGTTTCTCCTGAAACCTATGATGTGCTCATCTGGAATACAGAGCCCAGTTCTTTGCTGTTCATTTCCCCGAAATGAGTAATAGAGAAGGTCAAGGAAAGCTGGCCTGAGCTGTACCGGGGGAAGCGTGTTTGTTGATGCTTCAGTGCTGTGTGTGTGTGCAGTTGCCTCAGGTTGTTTTCTATGATGTGCTCATTAGCCGTGACTGCATGTTAGGAATAACTAGTGAGTACAAAGCTGATGTCGTTTGTGAAGATTTAGGTCTTGTTGCAACATTTACAAGCGAATTGATCTGCTGAAATAATGTTGGAGCACTCTGTTAAAGCCAAAACTTGTCATGTAGCATTATTAACATTACTATTACGTAAAAATGTTTCCTTTTTAAAATAAATGCAGGTCTGTGAATACTGTCCCATTATGTTCCATGCTGCTTGAGTTTCTAAACAAACACACATTAAACTTAATTCTTTTTGACTATGGTGCATGCCAGGCTAATTAAAACCATCTGCGCTGCGTCTTTAATATTTCTGAAGCATGGGCAATAACTAAATCAGTGCTACCACTGGAATTTTTAACAAATATGTGTAAATAGAACGAGCAGTGGAAGCAAATAATTGAAAATAGCATTAAAATGAGAAAAACTTATGTTTCCTTCTCCAATTTCTTTCAGAGAAAAACAAAGCAGGACTGCACACAAACTTGGAAGCTTATCCTTCATTAAGTGTCACTAATTCCCTGTAACACATGTAAAAAAATAAAAATAAAATTAAAAAAAGCGCTGTAAGGCAGACTGAAGGCTGTTTTCCCTTTTCTATAAAACACAAAGTATTAGTGGGAATGAATGCTTAAGGCTGAGCGATGGCTACCAGTACCATCTCCCCTACTGCTTTACACAGTCAGGATGTCAGGAGAAATGGGGACTTGCTGTGCTCCATTCGCTAATGAGCACAACACTGCTGCCTATTAGTAGGTATAAGCAATGAAGCTCGGAGCATAACCATAATTAACAAATTAAACCTGCAAACAAAAGAATTCTTCGAGTCAAACTCTTGTCAAACATTTCACTTTGTCCTAGATTCTGCTTCACGCACAAATCAGCCGCTGTTTAATCACTCAGAAAACTTTCACATCCTGAAAAATATTTAAAAAGACCAAAAAAAAAGTGTTGAAGTAGTCCATATTTTAAACAAAAATGACAGTGTGTGATATGAAGGGTTTAGCTCATGATGAACTCACAAAGAATTATTATTCAACTCTCAAGCTCCCTGCAGAGCTTTTCTTTTGAGTCTTTAAGCTCTCTTTTCCAGATGCAGGCAGCTGGTTTTATTCAAAAAAATCCAATGATAGATGTATTTCAAACTACCTGTTGAGCATCAGTATACTGAGAAAGTTAGCATCTGGTGAACACACTGGAATATTTAGTTGATAAAGAGATTTTCTCAGAAGTCAGTGGAATAAAAACGCAGTTAATAGGAGGATGAATGTCAGATATTAAAACCACTGACGTGAGAAATAAGGAGCATTGATCGTCTTGTTATGGGGCGGTCTCTCTGGATTTCTTGTGGATGTTACTTATATGTGTGCCACAAAAATCTCTCCTTTTCAAACTTTACTATAAAACAAAGGAAGAATGGCTCCAGACACCACAGGACACAGGAGGTTCCTCATCAGTGCACCGGTGGTAAAAGAGCTGTTTTGTAGGGATGAGGGAGCGCTACACAATATTAGACAAGTGGTTTTAATATTTCACATTTCTCGCCATCTGTAGGGTGTGCGAGCAAGCACTGGTTTCATAATACATTTTTTTATAAGCTGATAATGTGTCAATGCTGTGTTTTTATATCTAGTTCAACTGTCCAGAAATGGCAACAAAAGAGTTAAGGCAATAATATGTTACCATTTTACCTCCAAATATTACACTCAAAGTACTTTTTATGGTACACTGAGTGAGCCAGCTTTAGCTTCATGGACAATAAATTAGACCTTCTCTGGCTAAGACTGAAAGCAGATAAGGAATTGTTGCTTTCTTCTGACCAAAACTTGGCTCAATAAAAACTTGCCAGATTCAGCTTTTCAATTTGGTCCTTCTTTTGTGAGCAGACTGAGACTCGGAAAAGTTTTACAAATGATATCAGGGAATAACAGAAGAGGCTGACCAGTATATGTTTTATATTGTTGAACTTGCTTAATGTTTTGCTTTGTCAGCAAAGTTAACGACTTGCAAAATTGCTGTTTTGTATTCAGATGCTTCTGTGTTTAATCCGTGAGCAGCTTCACGATTCAAACCTAAATTTAATGCAATTCATGTAGCCTTGAATAGTCTAACATTCATAATTAAAGGTAGAGCGTGTAAAATCTCACCACTAGATGGCAGTAGATAACAGCTTGCAGTCAACTGAACTCTGTTTTCTTACCTGTGAGTTATCTCCTTTTCTTGTTTCTTTTTTTTTTTTTCAGGTTACGCGTATGTGGCCGTTCCCTCGCCACAAACTCAATACGCACTTAGGTGGAACAGCCATGTCCATCTCGGCCACTGTGTTTAAGATGATGGGACAACATCTCGGTTTCCACAAATCTGTTCCTGTGTATTCTTGAAACCTTCCCGTCGTGTTCGGATCAAATCTGACTGATTTACAAATTAAAACACTCATAAATATTGTGTTTTACATCTGATTGCTTCAAGGCCTTATGACATCCCCCACACTATGAACTTGAACATATAAAAGTAATGAGCACCTCTTTCATTGAATTTTGAGTGTTTTAATCAACTTTGTTATATCTGTGGTGTTCCCGGTCAAAAGTGTCCACCATAGGAAATGAATGGGAATCCATCCCCCACCCCTTTCGGCCTCTGACCCCCTGAATGACCAAATAAATGAAAGACCCACTGAACGACCTATTGAACTGAATTTGTTGGTGAAAAATGTTTAGTATGTTAATTTAAGAGCTGTTAAAACTGACTGGTCCATTGTGACCGGGAACTCTAAAGTAAAGGGGATGGGGGTCCACAAAATTCTACATTTATACATTTTATCTTTGCACGATATTATTTTTTCTTTTCAATAACCTCAAAAAACAGCTAAATATACCTTTAAAGTAACTTTGAATTGTTTAACATTGGTAATTGAAGGAAAAACTCAAGAATTTGCAAGAAAAGCATGGCTGATTCTGTGTGTGTTGAAAGAGCCTGTATCCATTAAAGTTGGTGCAAGAAATTTTCCAGACATTTTTTTTTGCTTTTTTTCAATGACACCCTTTTATTTAACATCAGACACAACTGGAGTCCAAACCAGTAAGGAATATGACTAATGTCCAACATTCATATGGTCACCAGCATCTGTGGAGAGACTGAGTAATACTATGAGGTGGTGACTGAACTACTGGTAAAAGCGTAATGGAGGATGTCCATGAGCAAAAGTGTAGTCTGAGCCATTTCACCAAACACTGAGTATTTCTTGCATATTCATCATTATTGTTAGACATCTTAAAATGTAAAGTTTAGAGCAGATTGTCTGGCACCGAATCAGTGCATGAAGTTGACACAGAGGATGAGGGTCACCGAAGGCCCAACTAATGCAAATGTAATCATGCTGCACACTGCAGTAACTGCGTGAATATAAAGATGCTGGCAACATGCTTGAGAGCCATTAATGCATTTTGTTAGCACATACTTTGTCAGCATAGCACTCAAGTGTGGAGACCAATTTATGAAGTTGAAATCTATTTTCCAGATGACATTTTAAGTTTCTTGCTCCATATAGCTGTACTGCCAATAAATGTGATAATCAACATACATACGCAGTATAGTATTAACCATAACATTACCCTGTGCCCTCCTGGAAACCACTTGTGCGCAGATGAAAAGCATGACATGGCAATATTTACTTGTTGCCATAGCAGCAGTTGAGCATACATACATAAAAAAAAGAAAATCTTTATGAAAGTAAGCCAGAGGAAAATAGGTAAGAGTGGAATAATGCAGACATGGTCCATAAATAATAATTTGGGTAATTTTGTATTTAAAAGGTTATTTATAATGCACATGCACTCAAACATTTTAGCTT